CGTGACATGTTCGTACGAACCCTTTGTACGAACAAAAGTAAGAGAAATTTAGGATAAGAATACGAACATGTTCTTGCATGAGGCCCATTGAGTTTTGTTAGTGGACTTAAAGTTATCTGAACTACATTAAGCGGAAGCTAATTGGTCCGCTAACAGTTTTCATTGTTAGCAAAAACGTTAATCTGCTGAGCAAAAAGTTAGCTTTGCTAACTAAAATTTTTTACCTCGCTAATGCTAAACCTCTAAAAATATAGCAGCAGCTAACACAATCACCATGTATTGTTTTGGGGGAATTATTGCACTTCCTGTTTTCTATTTCAGTTAGTTTTTTTTTTTTGGGATAAATGGCCATAACAGAACAACTGTGTGAGTTTTGCTGGTGGACTTAAAGTTATCTGAACTACATTAGGCGAAAATTTACTGGTCTGCTAACAGTTTACAATTTTAACAAAAATGCTAATCTGCAGAACAAAAAGTTAGCTTTGTTAACTGCTAATCTGCTAACTAAAAACTTTTATCTCACTAAACTGCTAAAAAAATAGCAGCAGTTAACATTAAGTGATAGCAGCCAACTTAAGCCCTGAGCTTATGGTATCGGGGGCAGAACTGCACTTCCTGTTTTCTTTTTCTAGTTAGTTGTGATGGAAATATTACTTCTCGGTTTAAGCCAGTAATTCATGACCTAGGTTTTCATGACATGCTGTTTATCWGYAGATATAATGATTAAAGTCAGAACAAGATTTTCTAACAACAATCATTCTTAGATATCACTTGTGTTTATCTTTGTGTTTTCCCTTGACCCTGCATTTTCTTAGGATGAAATCTTGCTTTATTAAGATGACATAATGCTGTTTGTTAAACAGTATATATGAGGCCTCAACTGCCTCAGAGAAGGAGAAGCAGGAGCAGAGAGCAGGAGGACCGTCTGATGGCTCTATGTTGTTCTCTGTGTTCCTGTTGCAATAAAACTCAGCTGATCATTCCACGGCGTGCCTTCTTTTCTGTCTTTGTTAAATAAATATTTCCATTTTTTTTTGTGGGGGGATGAAAATAAACATTTGGGAAAACAGCACAGCTTCAGAGTCAGTGCCCAGTGGCCCACAGCACTCTCATTTCCCAGTTACAGACCTGTTTTCGTTCTCCAGGCGGGCCAGGGTGCACTGGAGCTGCTCCTTGTCCTGATGCTCCAGGTGAGCCAGCAGCATGTGTTGTCCGCAGGGCGAATCATGGTCCAGGGCTGGGCTGGAGTGACGCAGGAGGTACTGATCTTCATCCCTGAGTCGCCCCACACAGGAGACAACACACTGAGCCACCAGCAGCACAGCCACCAGCAGCACAAAGCAGAGCCAACAGAACAGCAGAGCAGACAAGCCAGGGCGAAGGCGAAGGCGAGCGGGAAGGGGACATGATGAAATGAAACAGGCCACAGCAGGACGGGCTTCTGTGACTCTGAGCCAGACTCACATACAAACACTAAAAGCCCTAAAATAAACTCGGCTCAGCAGACCGTTAAACTGCTCAGGTTTAATAAAACTGGAAGGTGCAGATTAAGCTGCGGCACGACGAAATGTCAAAAATAATAAACACTTCAGTGACATAATGTGCAGATATTCTCGCAGACCTCAGGCTGTTAAACAATAAACAGATCTGTGAACGGCTGGCTTTTATCATTATAGAAAGTCAGTTATTTTCCTGTTTCTGCCTGATGTTAATGTCTCGCCTGCAGGAATAACTTTACCGTCTAAAATACAATAAAGTTATGATTTTACATCACAGTGATATTTATTGCTTGAATAGGAAAAATAATAGTGACATATCTGAATTTATGACCTGTCAAGTGTTTTTCTTACTGTGTTTGATATTGATAGTAACTACAATAATATTATAGTTTACTACAAATGATCTGTTAGGAGCAAACTTTGGTAAAACATTGTTTGTTTTGTCTGTATTATATATGTAAACAGAAGCAGGCCAAAGTTTGTTTCAAATTTCTAATTGGACGGAAGTTAAGTTTTTTCATTCTGCTTCTTCTTTAGTACAAACATCAAGAATAATAAGCATTTTTAGCTTGATTTATTCAGTATTAAGTATTTTAAAAGCATAAGCATGAGTTGTTTACATAATTTATCTTTTAGGATCTTGTTCATATTCAGATTAAGTCATGAACATTTGTCCCAATAATCCTCTGAGCTGTTGCTGTTGGATTAAAAACACTTTTTACTATAATACAACAAAATCTAATGCTGATATCTGTGACTGCGTCTCTTTGTGTTGATATAAAGGTCATAAAAAACAAAAAAGGTTTTGTAGTAAGTGGTCACAACATCACTAAAATATTGTTTTTTTCTGTCTGATATGGTGGGCACAGCTAACCAAAGAGTTAGCATCACTAAATCATAATCCGCTAACTAAAATCATAGCTTTACTAATGCTAAACCACTAAACATGTAAAAAAAAAGCTAAAAAAAACACAGCTAACTAAGTAAAAATTAGCTGAAGCTAACACTAACAGCTAATCGCTAACATCTGAGATGACTGTCACTCAGTCTTTGTCTCCTTCCAGGTGAAAACTGGTTGAACCTGTTGATGTTAGCTTGTTAGTTAGCTGTTAGCAGACCTAAAGTTAGCAAAACCTAAACCTAAACCTGCTAATGGTTCTCAAAGTTAGTGAAAAAGCTAATCTGCTAATAGTTTCACTGTTAGCGTTTTAGCGGTAGCCAAGCTAAATGAGTTTGGAAAGCGAACTTTTTGATTAGCTGTGCCCTCCTCTGATCTTACTTAAACTTTAACAGCTACAGATTAGGTCAGGTGCAATCAAATTGTCTAATCCACTGTGTTTGGAGGATTATAATTGACATTACATTAGTCGATTAGCTTGTAAATGCAGATTTTTTTTAAGTTTATCAGTGTACACGCTGTTACATAATAATGATAATAGTTTAATTCTAACACACTTCAGAGCAAATTTCAAACCATTCTACATTGAAGTGAAAAAACTGTCGTCCCAACAGACAGGCAGCACAAACTCCTCCGAGCTGCATCATTTTGACGATTGGCTCAGCGACTGAGAGCTTCAATTATTTTCAGGTCCGTTACCTGCCAGTCAGTGCGGTGAACCCAGAGGGACGTACAAAGGTGGAGGTGGAGGGCTGTGCTCACAGACAGCGTGATTCGGGAAAGAAAACAGTACGATAGCAACCAAAACACCAGCTGGAGGCACAGATAGCACAGCGGCATGTAGGAAGCCAGGCAGGAATAATAAWAAAAAAAAAAAAGCACAGAGGCAATAAAGGCACTGACAGACAAGAGAGACAGACCAGAAGAACAGAAAAGCAGCGCTGCTTCTCACAGAGCATGAGCCGTGCACACAAACACAGTTATATTCTGACGAAATCGTGCAAATGTTGTATGCAAATGCACTGAGAGACGCAATTAGTGACAAACTTCCATTCAAGCAGCAGCAACAGATGCCTCTTTATAAAAACTGTGTTGCTGCTGTTTTGTTACAGCCCTTCATGTGGCGTCAATCACAGTTAATGTCTCAAAACAGATAAAACTCATCTGATAATGAATAACGCTCACACCGAAGAAAACACATGGAGCTCTAAAGACTTTAAAGGTTTTCTGAGATGGAGTCTTATTCTGACCCGCTAACAGACAGTCTGAGACGAACCAAGATCAAAGAGATTTGAAGCGATCCTCTCAAACTTTTAAAGTGCCTGTGACATCAAAATGTTTTAAATAATACAAATGCGTTTTTGGAAAGATAACACTGAGAACATATTACAAAATAATGTTCATGCTGCTGAGATGAACAGTTGTTGAGATATTTGCATGTGAAGTAACAGGAAGTGATGTCAAAGGGGAATATCTGCATGAAAACAGAGCTAAGCTAACATGCTCAACAGCCCAGACTGTGGGGAGAAATCTGATGTTTTATATTATTTTGAGTCACTATCAGACAAAAAAAAAAAAAGAGTCAGAGTTCAAATCATAATATTTCAATAAACAAAGACCAGTTGAGTTATTTTTCTTAAAGGAGTTCCCCTTTGATGTCACTTCCTGTTTCTCTTTTGCCAAGCCAAGTTCAAAAAGAAAATAGGTCAGTTATGCRTCCAAATGGGTAAGATAATGTGTGGTATGCCAAGTTTCTTAAATAGAACAAAGTTTTCTTTGACTTTTTGTATATGAAGGATAAACATGTCACAGGCACTTTAAAGCAGCTCATGCTAACGCTACATTAAAAACCTTGACATCACCATCAGTGTCTCCGTTAGCACAAACAGCAGCAGCACGAGCTGGCTGTAGCAGCTGAATATTATGCTATTTTTGCCATAGTTATAAATAACTATTTTAGTCATATTAAGTAACTTAAAACAACTGCTCAACTGTTAGTCTGCGGGCCACATTTGACCTGCAGGTGACTYCCCCCCCTAAATTAATATATAAATAGATTTCAAATATTTGTAAATTTAAATGGTAAAAAACAATAATACTTGTTCTGTTACATGCTGCAGTGTTTCACATATCCTTAATGGGCATGCGCTACTTTTGCTGTAGCTCAGTTGTACTGGGAAGTGGGAATCTCCCACTTAAAAATTGTAAATTTAAACTGGAACACCCCTCCAGTGAGAACTTCCTGTCAGAAAATGGGAGAGTTCCGAATTCAAGACTGCAGCTACTCACCACAAGTCAACAGTAAGTAAAACMATCTTACATTTACTTTTATTAGTATTTATTTCACATTTAGTCAGTCGTACACGTAGTACTTTTCTGTGTTTATAAGAGGACGTGGCAAAACTATGTTTCTATGCAGGAAATACCACGCAGAGCTCAGTTATTGTTCGTTAGCGGTGCTCAGAACGTGACGTTTCGTGATCTCAGTTTCGTCCCACTGCTGCGAACAGGATGATGGTGGTTTGTAAACTGCAGCCCTGAAGCRGGCGTGAGGACGATGAAGGGGCAGAGAGTGTGCCGGCTGCTCTCTGTGGGTCATTCTCATTACGCGCCTGATTATTTATGTGATCCTTCCCTAACAGCCAAACACGCACGTACGAGCCCGAGCGCACACACAAACACAGCGACAGTCAGTGTGTCGGGGAGGGGAGGGGGAGGGGGTGGTGGCTGCATACTCACAGGCTTTCATCAGGAGAGAGGCTATCCGTGAAGAATGAACAGTTCTGGTTCTCCATCTCTGCCAGTCTGTAAACACACACACACACACACACACACACACACACACACACACACACACACACACACACACACACACA